TAACATAAAAAATTATATAAATGGACAAGAACTAGAAGGTCCATTAAAAAAAGCTATTGTTGGTTTTTGTGTATGTGTATGACTGGGTCCCACTCTGTCACCCTGGCTGAAGTGCAGTGGTGCAATCTCAGCTCACTACAACCTCCGCCCCCTGGGGTCAAGTGATCCTCCCACTTCAGCCTCCCAGGTAGCTGAGACTACAGGCATGTGCCACCACATCTGGCTAATTTTTTAGTTTTAGTAGAGACGGGGTTTCACTATGTTACCCAGTCTGGTTTCTAACCCCTGTACTCACGCCATCTGCCTGCCTCAGCCTCCCAAAGTGCTGGGATTACAGGTGCAAGCCACCTCACCTGGCCAAGATCCACAAAACAAGCTTTGATTGTTAGAATGTTGTTACTATGGTGAATTTACTTTCTTTTAGCTTTCAATAATATTGTTTTATAAGAATAGCAATAATAAGGAACGTTTGAAAGTACCTTTAAATTTTTCAACAGTATCGTTGCATCCTGCTGTTTCTGCTATGTAGAAACTATACTAACTAAAGAAAAAAAAGAAAGAAAGAAACTATACTAACTATGCACTTACCCTAAGACTAGGTCCTTCGAGAGACTCAGTATCATTGGATGAAGTAGAACACTAGTGCATGAGAATGAATTTCACAGCTCTCAAATAAGACAGATCTGAGTTAAATTTCATCTCTAAGGCTTAACAGCCAAGTGAAGTTAGGCCAATTATTTAACTTCTCAGAGCTTCAGGTTCCTCATTTGTAGGTCAGTAATCATAGTTGTAGCTATTTCATAGATTTTCTCAAGCAGTAGTAAATAAGATAATGAATGTTGATGTTTCCTTGACCGCCCCACTCAGACTATCACAATTATATTAAATATTTAATATAGTAATTAGTTGTTTAATGTCTGCCTCTCTAAGACATATATATTGTGTTAGAAAATAAGCTCCACTAAAGCATGGAGCATTGCATTACATTCATAGCATCTAGGGTATTACTTTGTATACAATAAGCACTCAATAAATGCTTATATGAATGTATGAAAACCTTAGATGGGTGGTCAGTAGTAGCTTCAACTACAGAAAAGTTATTGAATTTAGTCCTGGCACAGGGAAAAGACCTAAACAGCATGGCCATTGGCTTTAGCTGACATAACACATCCAATTATGAATACAGTCCTCTCTCAGTATCTGTGGGGGACTAGTTCCAGGACCACCCCTTTCAAGGTACCAAAATCTGTGGATGCTCAAGTCCCTCATATAAAATGGCATAGTATTTACACATACTATCCACATCCTCTTGTATATTTTAAATCATCTCTAGATTACTTATAATTCCAAATACAATGAAAATGCTAGGTAAATTATGTTTTATATTTTTTATTTTTTGTTGTTGTATTATTTTGGAATTTTTTTCAAATATTTTTGACCCACCGTTGGTTGAATACAGGATATGGAACTTGGGGATACAGAGGGTCATCTATATTGTGCTCTGTACAAAGATATCTGGCCAAGGAGGAAGTGAAGACTGAAATCTGAACCGTGAACCTGGGAGAGGGTAAAGGGGTTAGGATGCACAGGGAATCTACCTGGAAATAGAGATGCCTTTTGATAATTCCCCTAAAGGTACCATCAGTTAAGTGAACAGTGGCCTTGTGCAACAGAATCAGTCCTCAAACCTTGGAAACATCAAATCCTGGGAGAATACATTAAGGGCTTAGGATGGGACGTGGAACATGGCCAGATCAAAGCACTCCAATTTAGTGGCAGTATTTACCTTGTCCAAGCAAGCAATCTAGCCTCATTCACCACTCCTCTACTCCCCCAAAGCTTTCTTTCTGGGTGTCTCTTCTGAAACCTTTAGATGGAGCTGAGAGGAAGACTCTATTTATTTTCCACTGGAGGACATGAGTCAGTGAACAGTGAGGTTACACTTAATCACCACCAAAAAACAAGGTCCTTAAAATCAGGAGCCAGAAAAGCAAAGAAGTGATTAATATAAAAGTCAGGATAGTGATTATGCCTTGGGCAGGGTAGGACAGGACAGGGTGGGATGGGGGTAGGGGACCTGATGGGGCAGGGGTCTTCTGGTGTCCCACAGTTTCTTGACTTGGGTGGTGGTTGCACTGCTAATGTTTGCTTTATAATTATACTTAGATCTTTTCTGTACTTTTCTAAATGTGTATTATACTGCACAATATTAAGCAGCTAAAAAAATATATAACAAGTTTTTAAGCAGGAGAAAAATGAACAGATTTGTCTGGGCGTGGTGGCTCACGCCTATAATCCTAGTACTTTGGGAGCCGAGGCAGGTGGATTACCTGAGATCAGGAGTTTGAGACCAGCCTGGCCAACATGGTGAAACCTTATCTCTACTAAAAATACAAAATTAGCTGGCGTGGTGGCTCATGTCTGTAATCCCAGCTACTTGGGAGGCTGAGGCAGAACTGCTTGAACCAGGGAGGTAGAGGCTGCAGTGAGCCAAGACCACATCATTGCATTTCATCCTGGGTGACAAGAGCAAAACTCTGTTTCCAAAAAAAAAAAAAAAAAAAAGACCAGATTTATATGATTAAAAGGTCACCTGGGTGTTGAACTGAAAATTGATTGAAGTTGGGGCAAGGCTAGAGGCAGGGAAACCAGTTAGGAAGTAGCTGCTGTGTTTTGGTGAGAAATTATAATGATTTTAGCTAAAAAAAGGTGAAACATTAGGGACATAGTTATATTACTACATTATCATTACTATTATTTTATCATTATTATGCTATTATAATTATATAACATATAATTATAATATGTAAATTATAATTATATCATTATATATTATATTATATTATTATTATGCTACTATCATTATTGTTATTATTTTTGAGATGGAGTTTTGCTCTTGTCACTGAGGCTGGAGTGCAATGGTGCGATCTCGGCTCACTGCAATCTCTGCCTCCCGAGTTCAAGCAATTCTCCTGCCTCAGCCTCTCAAGTAGCTGGGATTACAG